GAGACGGCGGGAAAGGCTGTGGCTGCTGGTTGCCTCGAAGCTGAATCCTCAAGGAGGCCATTTCTGAGCAAAGGACCAGTCAGCATGTAGTCAGCAAGCAGTTAGGCCAAATAAGATTAAAAGAAGCGTCGAGCCAAGTCCAGGAGCTTACCTTCGTCGCTTAAATGAAAATATTCTCTGACGGCGAGAGGATCAGAAAGGTCTGGAAGGTCTAGAATCAACCTTGCCCCTCTAAGTTTGAACTCAGTTAAAAGGGTGTCGATGTGGCGAGCCTTCTCTGAATACAAAAAGGTCGTCTCAACCCTCGCCAATCTATTTCCAGAAAGTTTCGGCCGATCGTGGCTAACTAAAGGGTAAAAGAACTGTCAACTTTTTAAAAAAAAAAAAAGAAAAAGAAAGGGGACGAAGTATCAAATTCTCACCCATATTCCTAAATGAAGTTTGCACCTTCCTACGGCAGGGCAAACGGTCTTTAGGGTGAAAATTAAAAGGCCCCCGAATCATGACAAACATGGGTTTCCACCCATGTGACGACAAGGGGATACCTCGTATCAGCATTCCAAGCCTAGGCTGGGATCGCCCATGTCACTCAAAAAATACCATCCATCACATTTGGCGACGTGGCATAGTCTGTACATAAACATAAATTCATCCAGCGGTAGATTCATATCGAATCGCTGGCTCCAAAGAACCCAGGCGCCGGCAAAACAGTACCAAAAATTCGGCGCCAATTGGGCAGGAAAGATGCCATAAAAACGGTAATAGTCTTTAACAAAGGGATGAACCGGCAAAGTCATCCCTGCCATAACAGCCCGAGTATACACGGGGAGATACCTGGTAGGAGGCATGCTGGTTCTAAAATGTACCGTTGATATAACCTTCCTTAACAGCCCGAATAATATCTCTGTTTCGGACCCTCGACGCCACGACGTCAGTTGTAAAAAATAGCCTGTCTGGGTCGCCGCTCGTAGCAGCCAAGGGGGCATCCACCGTTGAAGCGGCAACACCACTTATGCTATCTCCCGTGAAGGGAATCTTATTTACTTCTTCATCCAGCATACGATCGACGTTGTCGAACTCGTCGCCAAAACCCTCGCTAGGTCCGCCCATGTATGCTTCTATTTCACTCAGTATTGAGTTTCCATCTGATGAAGAAGACGACCATGAGATCTCCACCATAGAAGGAGAGTCTGGTCACACAACGGATGGGTCCTCTCGACGAGTGGGGTTTGAGGCCATTGTTCTGGTGTTGAAAAAGACAAAGGAGCTAAGTCAAAATCCTAAGTTGAGAGGAAGAGGCAAGCGATGACTGCTCAATTACCACTAGCACCTCTCAAACATAACGTCGACCATTCATACAAAAATGGTGACGACAAATGTTCATAAACAAACGAGGTTCATTTCAACCCAAAAATCAGCCAGAAATTAGAAAAACTATCCTATGAGGGTCATGCAAAGTGAATGATAAGGTCTCTATCCCCTACATTCCACATTAACATATCTATGGTTTTTAATAGGTAAGACAGTGAAAGTTATTAAAGCAAGTACAAGCGAGCAATCATTAACAACTTACCTGTGAGATGGAGTCTGGGCAAAGGCGAGTTCTGAAATGGCTTCGCAAAACACCAAGGAGAGCAAGGGATGCAAGAAGGAATCCTCGAAAAAGAACTCAGGCAGAATGACAGAAGTCTGAGAAGTTTGTTAAAAAATGGCTTCGGTTCGAGAGTTATTTAAAGGAAGACAAGCATTCTACCCCTAGCCGTCAGATTAAGTTCACAAAATCCAACGGCAGGGGCGTCAACCCCAGATCAAAGGGCTCATATTCATTTTTTCAAAAAGTGAAGCCTTACGTCAGCCTGGCGAACTGATCGACGCGACGGTTACGTTCCTCGAGGAGAGTCGAAGCTTCAAGGCTATCATTATGAAAGTAGGCTCAGAATTGGGTTCCCACACCCGAGGCACAGAAAGACACCCGAACCTAGCTCGAGGGCTGTCTAAATGAAACCCTCGACCTGGGGGGCAGCTGTTGTGTGGGAAAATGTGGGTGACATGTGGAACGGCGACAGCGTGACACGTGGCCCTACTTTCTCTCAAAAGGTGGCCACCCTCGACGCCAAGAGTTCGACTACCCTCGATGCTTGGAGTTCTCTACCCCTCGACGCTGCAAAGAAAGGCCCAAATTAGGGCGTCAACTCTTTGTGCCGTCGAACTTATGCAACAACCTTCGGAAAGATCAGAAAGGGTATAAGATCCGCGCGGCACAGATGCCGAGGGGAAAATATCTGACACCATAAGTTGCGTCTAGGAGTTGGATACGCCTGCAATACGGGCATTAATTACAAACCCTTAAACCGCCCTGTAGTGGGTAGTAAGAGATTACAGGAATTCACAGAGCCATAATAGAAGACCATTTGGCTGAGTGAACAGTCCAAAAGTGATTAGTGGGCTATGGTCTTAGCCTAGAAAGGTAGGCCACTCGAGTACTTCCACCTACGAAGGAAAACCACCCACGAAGGAAGCTTGGGCTATAAAAGGGGCAAAGCCCCATACACGAAGGGGGATCTCTCTCTCTCTCGGATATTAGAAAAAAAAAGAGGATACGTGCAGGTAAGTTGTAAAGAGTCCAAGAGAAATATATCTTACGTAAGTGGATGTAGCTCTTCATTAACAGAGTGAACCACTATAAATCTCGTGTGTCCTCTCATTCAAGTGTTATATTCATGCTTACAAAACACAACAAATACTTCATAACTTGATTTCAAATATACAGCTAATTTCTAGCCGGTAACCCCTCGGGATACCAGAGGGTGATCCGGCGTATTTCTGTTGACGAAATTTGACCGTCAACAATTTTCATTGTTTTTTTTTTGTAATTTTTTATTTTTTTTTTTCTCGTCACTTTGGTCATTGCTGTAATCAAATCCGACCATTTCAAGCATTGACCGAACCAATTTACGCATTTTATACAAACTTAAAATTTCTATCATGTACTTAATTTTTGAATAACCTAAAATATATTATAGATCTATGTAAATTTCTTTAATTTTATTAACAAAAGAAAAAAATGCAAAGTTGAAAAAAAAAAAAAAGAAGATAAGATCCAAACTATACCAACTTACATATCCAAACAATGAAAAAAAAAATTTAATGATCACATTATTTCTTGTTGAAAACTAAGTATAAGATCTAGCATGCATGATTATCGTGATATAACTAATTGAAGTATATATGCGCCGACCATTAACTTATTTATTTGGACAGTGTTTCACTTGTTATGGGGGAACATTTTACTAAAACATGAATTCTCCAGCCACAATTAATTGAACGTTTTACCGACCATGATCACTAGTCTTTTATTTTCCTTTTTTTTTCTTTTCCAATAATTCTTTGGTACGGTCAACTTGCCGAGAAAATAACCCTGGAAGCAAATTCTGGTTCACGGGGTTTCATTTGTTCTTAAAGAGACGAATGGAGTTTCTCATACATTGGCTGCTCATTTCTTTGAATGTTTCAATGTTTGTCGAGCACGGATGGCCAATTGGGTTCTAGATCAAGTTGGCCACTAAAAATATGAGAACAAAAAAAATTTGCATCACCAAATAAAATATAAATATATATACACACAGACACACACTAATTTATATAGGTAGGGGAGAATTCACATTGGAATTAAAATAATGGTATAGTCCATATATGATATATAATATAATATATATATATATTTATATGTATACTCTGATTTTCCATCAGACTCACGGAACATATAAAATATAAATCCAGCATGCGAAATTGGGAACATCGATCAGCCAAATTCAACCATCACATGCCATGCATTACTTTGTTTGCTTGTTATTAAATTGCTTTAGAATATGTCACTATATAAACCAATCATATTTGGTCTCCAAAATTACCACATTTTGATCACTAAAAAAAAAAAAAAACGCAACATTCTTGTAGAGATATATCTACAACCATGAAGCAATTTTCTTCCATATTCATTGTCCTTCTGCTAGTGTCGTCGATTTTATCGTCCAAGATCCGCATCTGCTTGTGCGTGAAGATGAAAGGTGATGTCGGAAATAGTTTTAATCATAGGAAGATCAATATCAACTGTGTGCCAGGAGATTATTACCAAGGTGGTGAAGAAGGAAACGGTGATGGAAACTCATCATGTGGTTGTGAAGACGGGAGTGATGGTGGTGATGGCGACATCGGCAGCGGCGGAGAGGATTCGGATCGATCGTATGGTGGAGGTTATGGTTTTGGCGGGGGAAGAGGTGGTGGCGGTGGTGGAGGAGGAGGCGGGGGTGGCGGAGGTGGTTGTGGTGGTGGAGGAGGAGGACGGAACTAAAGGTTGTTTTATGCATGGCTTCCAATGAAGTTAGAAGGATTTTCTTGATTTCTTTTTTTTTTTTTTTTTGTTTTTTTGTTTTCCTTTCACTTTTATTCCCATGTAGCTTTTTATCCTGAGATGTCCTTGTGTGGTATCCTTTGATCAAACCGTGGGTCATACATTTTTCCAATTTTTATTACATTTTCAATTTTTTTTTTCATTTCTTATCTCAATTTATTCCATAATTAGCCGTACTTCAACAAAAACATGAGCTCTAGAAATAATTGAATAATAATTTAATTAACTAAAATAATAAAAATAAAATTATTTTAACTAAATAGTAATAAAATAATGATTATTTATTTTATGCATTATTAGTTCAGCAATACAGCCAAACACAATCTAATTTAATAACCGAAGAGTTGAGACTTAAGACAGAGATAGAAAAGAATAGTAGGTCTGACGAGTTTTGGTAGGGAGGCAGTAATAAATATTTGATAAGTAATATCTGGCATAAGATACAAACATACGCTGTTCAGCAGAGACCGTACAGGTGGAATCCATGCAAAAGAAAATTTCAGCTCTCATAATTATCAATGAGTTGTTACTGGGTGAGCCCAAAATTATGGCCCGTTTAGTTTGCTGATTCGAGTTTAGATGCGACTTTTTATAAAAAATTTTTTACTGCAGTAAAAAAGTTAAATGTGATTGTTTTTGAAAACTTTTTACTGTAGTAAAACTTAAATTATAAACTCGAATCGGTGAAATAAACGAGGCCTTAATGATTTGATAATAAAAATTTCCTACATTTCACCGATTTAATTTTCAAATCCAGTTTTATTATGATTAAAAAGTTTGACAAATAATTACATTTAACTTTTTATATTACAATTGAAAACTCTCATATAAAATCACATCTCAATTTAAATTAAAAAGTTACATCTAAACTCAAATTAAAAACTCGAATCGCTTAACTAAACGTGACGAAAGATTATCACAATTCACAACGTACTTGTAAGTATTCTCATCATCATGCGGTTGGTATCTTAACAAGCAGCTCAAATTAAGGTAGGTACATCAACAATCCAGTAGCCAAAAAAAATGTACCTTAACAATCAGCTAAAAGAAATTATAAAATTTCGTCTGAAAAGAAACAAAAACATAATTAGTTATAAACATGTTTTGGAACAAAGTTTTCAAAAGATCAAGCTACCGTTTATTTTACGGATTTGAGTTTAAAATTTGAGTTTTGTTATAATAAAAAGTTTTCAGAAACAATAACATCTAACTTTTTTTTCTATAGTAAAAAGCTCGCACATAAAATCACATCTCAATTTAAATTAAAAACTTAAATCAAGAAGTAAATGGCCCCAAGTGCTATCAAATAGTTTTTACTCAGCTTGAACAAACATACTTTTAGAGTAAACTCTATTGATAAAAAGAAGATAATCTTGTGGCGTGCCTATACGCGCCATATAGTTAAATACATTCTGATGAAACATCGCATTTTTTTATCGCAAAGATATTTTGTATATTGTGCAAAATTATAAGAATATTAAACAATTTATTTAAGTAATTAGGATCGATGTTTGAGTAATTTATGGTATCAGTTATTTTCTTTCACACTTTCACCTTTAAAAAAAAAAAAAAAAAAAAAAAAACAGAATTAGAGAGGTGCTATTTAAACGTCTTGGAAGCGTGTCATTCCAAATCTCTGTAAAACCGGCAATATTAATCTCGTTACTTAAATCTAATTCTTGTATGTTTGCGGATTATTTAGAGCCTAATTAATGACAACAATATTGATCATTTCAAACATTTGCGTTTGGATTTTCGAGACATGGAAACCTCTACTTATTATTTTTGTTATCTATCTTATAATTCCGTAAACATATTTAGAAACATGTATAGCTCCCATTTATTTGCAATATATGGCTAACCGTTGGAAATAAGAAAAAAAGCTCAAAGCCACAGTCCATGAGACAAATGATCAAAAACAGAACCGAAACATCAATAATGATCATTGAAATAGAAGTACAACTTGCTGGCAAATACCTAATTAGAACATAAAACTACAACGCCAAATTAGAAAAAGCAGAGAAGAACAAACACAAAATAACGACACACGGTTCAAATGCATGTCTCCTAAGGGACATGTACAAAACATCTTAGCCAGCACCTACAAACACAAATCCTCAAAACACTACTAATTGAGGAACAACTGATCAATCAAGGATGCAAGATGCCACCACCAGCACCCGCAGCACCGCCGACGCCAGCCCCCGCTGCACCACCAACACCACCGACGCCACCGCCAACTCCACCGACTCCTCCTACGCCGCCAAGTCCCCCAGCTCCACCTAGGCCACCAACACCACCTCCTATTCCCCCAACACCGCCTATCCCACTGAATTTGCCAATCGTACCGATGCCCCCGAGCGTCGGCAGCACCCCGGCCACGCCGGCATAGCCCCCCATCCCGGCAAAACCACCGACCCCGCCGTAGATGAAGTTCTTCTTGTCGTCAACCGCCGCTGGCGACTCGGCCCCCTTGGGTGAAGTTGCATGCAAAAGGGTGGTTGTTTCCTCACTAGGGTTAACATCATCAGTCGTAGCAGTAGTACTCGGCACATTACGTGCAGTAGTTGCATGGATAGACACTAGGGCAAGCACAAAAATGGAAAACCAATATTTGATCTTCATGATGTCTCTCGAGCAGAGTGTTTGTGTGTGTTATGTGAAAGGAAAACAATTTGGGTGGGCTTGAGAATTAAGGGTTTGCTTGCAATTTTGCATGCATGGCGAGAGAATTATATAGGAGTTTTTTAGGAGGTGGGGGACAGTTGAGGGCAATAAATTAAAGGGTCGTAGAGTAAATGGAGAGGAAAATATAGTTGGCTAGCTTTTTTCCCTTTTTTTTTTTTTTGTGTGTATTTTTTATGATCTCGAAAAGAGAAATTCTTTGAATTTGGGATCAGAGAGTTAGGTGGAATCAAAAGAAGAGAAAATTTAAGGATGCTCATATACATGTCATGTCGTGATCTTATGAAGTGCCATCAGATTAATCGATTGGGTTTGTGACTCGTGTATCTTTCCTGAGGACTCGGCGACTATAATTTATGTTGCAATTAAATACAATGTTGATCTACTCTGAACCACTAATTGAGCTCAACGTGTCTCCATTTTTTTCTTTGATAAATTGTCTACAACTCTCTATATTAATATAAAATGCATGTAATTACAAATGAATTAAGATGGAACTTGCATTATTAGTCCAAATGTGGAGGTTAGGTCAATCCAACATCTAAATAGGTTGTTATGTAGTCTTAGTTAGAAATTAAATAGGAATATTGGTGGTATATATGTTAAAACAACCATTTACAACTATATATATTGAATTTTCGTAGTATACACAGATGTAACTACTCGACGTGATGTCAGCATAGACGCTTTCCTTTTTTTTTTTTTTTTTTTCCTTTTTAAGTTTTTTATGGGTTTTATTAGAAAGATTTTTACTAAGACTTGTTATGGGAGCTAAGTTCCAAAGGAGTACTAGTTTCGGCTTAATCTTCTATTGTTAGCTGCCGCTTGTTATTTTTTAGTTTCCTAATTATGGTTTTGGTGTTTTCGGCTTTTTGTTATATTCTAAATCCTGGTATTTTTCTTAGTATTATATATTATTGTTTTCTTCTTTTAACGAAATAGAGTGAGGAGCTTGATGTAGATAGGAATTTCAAAGAGTGCCGACGTAATTGACATGTCTTGATTCACCCTAATGCATGCTAGTTAGTTGCTCCTTATCATTTATTCAAAAAAATAAAAAATAAAAGAAAGATGTTCGTACCATATATTTCCTATATAAAGAAAACAAGATACTTCAACTATATATAATTTTCTGCCATACATGAGATCGGTGTATCCCTTAAATTGAAAATTTTATAACATGGCACAATCCCCAAAAAAGCTTGAGCTTGCTAGAAGTTATGGGAGGGTGTGACGCCTAATATCTGAAAGTCAATGCTAGTATACAAATTATGAAAAAAAAAGAAGCACAAGTTTCTACTCTACGCACAACCAATCACATACCATTTTTTCGGGGAAAAAAAAAAAAACACATAGGCCTCGTTTATTTTACCGATTTGAGTTTTGCTACAGTAAAAAATTTTCAGAAACAGTCATATCTAACTTTTTTACTACAGTAAAAAGCTCTCATATAAAGTCATATCTCAACTCGAATTAAAAACTCGAATCAGCAAACTAAACTGGCCCATACTATTTTTGAGATACAGAAGATCCCGACACAGTCACACTCCGTAATAAACCATGATAGTAAACAGCACCTGAGCGTCTAGACATAATTTCACCATCAGTGCCTAAGTCAGGATTTTATTACGGGTTAAAAGTATTAAAAATGCTAAAAACACTAATAATATTAAGAGATAAAATTATTACGGTATATTGTGTTATAACGAAATATGCTCTTGATATCTTACGTTTTTTATAATATTAAAATGGTACCTTAACATTTTTAAAAATTTCTTCTCGATACCTTAAAACTAATTTTTAAGACATGTAATGTTCATACTACTTTTCTTATCAATTAAATAGAAATTAGTAGTTTGTTTAATATATATATATATATATATATATAAATATTTAAAAGAAAATAACAAATAAAAAATAAAAAAAGCTCATGATTTTTTTCCTAAATCTATTAGTTTTTTATTAATTAAATAAAAGGATACTAAGGTCATTTTACATCTCAAAAATCAACTTCAGGGTACCAAAAAGATGTTTTTAAAAATGACGAGGTACCACTTTAATATTATAAAAAAACAGGATACTAAGAGCATGTTTTGCTATAACACAAGGTACCAAAATAATTTTATTCCTAATATTAACTCCCAATACTATTAACTAGTTAAAAGCAAATAATGTATTTGCATATTAATCAATTTATTGAATTTTTTAATACGTGAAACAAAATCTTAAAGAGAAAAGGGAAAGTTTGAAAAATGGCGTTTACTAGTTACTACCTCAACAAAGGCTAATTGAGAGGGTTAACACATTTGAGAAATATAATTTTAATAGGTTATTTAACTTTTTTCCTGTGAGGCTCACTTCTGATACAATAAAGATTATATGAAAAAAAATTCTAAAAGTAACAAATTTTAAAAAAAAAATAAAAGGTTTAACTAGAGTAAAAGAAAAAAATTCAATTAAGTACATTTACAAGTATAAGATTTAATAGAAAAAAAACAATCAAAAAGTATAAAAAAAAAAAGTTTAGATTTTGGTTGAGATATTTTGAAATTTTTGTAATGAAGCGAGGGCATATGTGAAAGAAAAAAAATTCTAAAAGTAACAAATTTTAAAAAAAAAATAAAAGGTTTAACTAGAGTAAAAGAAAAAAATTCAATTAAGTACATTTACAAGTATAAGATTTAATAGAAAAAAAACAATCAAAAAGTATAAAAAAAAAAAGTTTAGATTTTGGTTGAGATATTTTGAAATTTTTGTAATGAAGCGAGGGCATATGTGAAAAAAAAAATTGAAAACTATGGGATAAAATTTAAAAACTAAAAATTCAAGGG